TATATATATATGTATATATATATGTATATATATACATATATATATATACACACACACATATATGGCAACATCCCCACTTCTCAGTACCAATTTTTAGTACATTTGGGCTACTATAACAAAATACCTTAGACTGGGTAATTTATAAACAAGAGAAATGTATTTCTCTCCATTCTGGAGTCTCGTAAGTTCAAAATGAGGGTGCCAGAAGATTTGGTATCTGGTGAGGGCAGCTTTACAGATGCTGCTTTCTTGCTTCATCCTCACATGGTCAAAGGGGAAGCAACAAACAAGGCTTTCAGACTGCTTGTATAAGAATATGAATCCCATTTGTGAGGGTAGAGTCCTCATGACATAATCATTCCCCAAAGGCTTCACCTCTTAATACCGTATAGAAGACTAAGTCTCAACGACAAATTTGGGGAGGAGGTGGGACATATTCAGACCACAGTGGAGGGAAACGAGAAAGAAATAATATAGATATATTGACATCTAAATGAACAAGATAATTTTAAATAATTATTAATGTTGTGAAGATTATGAAAACATTAGGAAAAGAAAGTAAAAATAAAAGCATCTGTGGCACTTTCTGAGCAGGTGAAACTGGAGTCTGAAACATGAATAACCTCAAGGAGGCTGACACAGGTAGAAGGTGATTGGAAAAAATCTTAGGAAGAAAAAACAGCAGCTAAGTGTGTTTGAGAAAAAGAAAGATATAGTATGGCTGGAGTACAGGGAACAAAGAGGATTAAGAGGGAAGTCAAGCTGGAGAGGTAGGTAGAATGCAAATGATCAGAGACCTGAAGATCATAAGGAAATTCCATTTTAAGTCTGGTAATACATAACTGTAGAATCATAAGACAGAGAATGGCATGAATTTACTTATACATTAAAAAAGTAGCCTGGCTAGAGAATGAAAAATGGATTATAGCCAAGTAAGAGAAGCAATGCTGTTGCTGTTAATAATAAACATGAGAGAAACCATAGCAAGATAGATGAGAAAGGGTGGAGGCTCTAACGGGGTGACAGCAGTGAATATGGTCATGAGCATGGCCATTCATAAAGGATGGGACACAGACTGAGAGATGATGTGGACAAAGAGCTCAATCAGTGAATAACCTCTAGGGTTTTGATTTGTGTAAAGAAAATATTTTGTTGGATAAAAACTAAAGACTTCCTTTGTCAGTATTAACTTTGGCATGCATGCAGAAATTTCAGTTTAGAACTTGGCTACACCAGTTTAGAACTGATACGAAGGTATGAATTAGAGAAACAAATGTGAAAGTCATAGACATAGAGCTGTTATTTAAAGCTATAGGACTAGATATTAATATAAGAAGAGATAATAAAGGACGCAGACCAGGGATACTCTAACACTTACAAGGTGACCATAAAAGGAGCAGAGCAAAGGAAGCGAAGAAGGAGTGCTGTAGGGAAAGTCAAAAGAAAAGTAGTTAAAGGAGACAGCGAGTAGCTGCTGAACACCAAGAAGTCAATGAATTGAGGACAGAAGAAAGATGGCAGGCACTAATGATTTTAATAAGAGCTAAATAGGTGGGGTTGTGAGAACATGCATTAGTGAATGATGGTCAAGATATGGTGTGGTAACAAATAAACCTCCAAATATCAACGGCTTAACCCAATAAAGGTTCATTTGTTAAACATGCCATTTCCAGGGGTCAATCGTTGAACTCATCCAGTTTGGCAGCCCTCACTCATCTTGTATAATGCCATTTTAAACAAATGGCCTCCCAGTTTGTTACAGTATAGGAAGAGAGTGAGAAAGAGAATGGCATATTATTGAAGACCTTGTCTGAAAATCGTTTACATCATGTACAGGCACATTGACCAAAATCCAATGACATGGCATTGGAAGTTGTGAAATGTAGAAGAAAACGTGAATGTTTTATTATCTCAAACAGTGTCAACCAATAAAAGGATAAAAGCCTGATTTACTGGTTTGGAGGGAGGATGACAGGTGACAAGACAGAGAAAATAGAGGCAATGCAAATATCCTCCAT